CATTTGTTGAAAGTATTTGGAGTCGACTTAAAAATTTCATGTGTACCCAGGGTGGTAGATAACAGTTGGGCCAAATAACAGATTTACCAAAAAAGCATGAAAGGAAAGCTGGAGAATGACATAGCTATAGGGCCTAGGAAAAACTCTGATCCACTCTTGGGAGTCTAGAAAGTCCTGCTTATGTATGGGGTTGTGCTGATGCAGGGTTGGATGGATGTTCGGGGAAGACCTAAGATGGCCCTACGCTCCCACACTGGCTGACCATGAGCCTCTGCAAAAGGAGAAATTGAAGACTAAGGCAGAATTATCAGTTTCTCACTGATTATTAAAGGAAGGAATTATTAAGTGCCTTAAAATAAACAGAGCCCCTTGGCAAAAACTGGGAGGCACTATGGGTGTAGACTCAATTTTTTCTACGATGCACTTACAACACAGATCACCCTGACACCAGATGCATGGTTTGGATGTGGTTTGTTCTCCAGGGGTTCATGTGTTAGAAGCTTGGTCTCCAGTTGGGATTGTTGGGAGGTGGGTGAACCTCTGAGAGTCAGTTAGGTCTTGGAGGACATGCCCTCAAAGGGAATGAAGGTAGTTTTCATGGTATGAGTGAGTTGTTACACAAGCAAGCCTGACTTCTGAATTTCTCTGGTTTGTCATTGTGATCCTTCTGTCTTATGTGTGTCCCTGCCCTTTTAATGCTGACCAGTATAAAGTTATCATCAGAGCCAAGCCAGTGCCAGGACCATGCCCTTCAACCTCCAGAACCATGAAAACTGTGCATAAAATAAACATTTTTTCTTTATAAAATTACCCAGCCCTGGGTGTTTTGTTATAATAATGAAAAGTAGTCTATTACACCAAGTGTGTATTTTTCCCTATACTCTAAGAAGGCAGTGCTGCAGCAACAAACACCAATTGGTTGTCCTCAACTCCAATTCCATTCCAGCTCTATCTAGCTAGAGATAAATTGAATCCAAAGAAGGGGTTGTGGGACCACTGCTTGATAGCTGGTCAGAGACATAGGCCACAACCTGGGGGTTGTAGTTGGTATCTGAAGCGAGGGGGCCACTGTCTTGGTGTCTGAACCTTAACTTAGGTCTGCTGTTATATCCAGGAAGATAGTGCAGAACTGAATTGAATTAGAGGACACCAAGCTGTTTCCTACTGCAGAATTAATTGCTTGGTTGGTGGTAGGCTGAAAGCCCTTTGCCTTTGAGGGCCACAGAAGTCATCTGTATTGATTATTGTGAAATTGAAAACAGAGGTAAACCAGTTTGTTTTTCCTGCAAATATTTATTTGGAGTATTTTTTCACTTTTTTGATTTTTAATCTCTTTGTGTATATAGTTCTAAAGTGAGCTTCTTGTGGACCAGCATGTAATTTTGAAGAAAAAATTATTTTGCTGATCTCTTGCCATTTGGTGAGTTTAGTTCATTTTCATTTAATGTAATTACTGATAAGGAAGTATTCTGACAATTTGCTGTTTGATTTCTGTGTGTCTTTTTTTATTCCTGTATTTGTATATTTTGTATCTAATTGATTTTTGTAGTGTACCATTTTGCTTTTTTAGTCATTCCTTATCTGATTTTCTAAAGTTATTTTCTTAGTAGATTAAAAGTAACATCCTGAAAATATAATAACCTAGGTTGAATTAATACCAACTTATCTTCAGTAGTATGCAAATCTCTGCTTCCTTTTATTCCTTCCCTTTATATTATTATTGTTGCAGATTATACCTTTCCACATGTACATTCACCTCTTAACATAGAGTTATAACTATTGTTTTATGCATTTATCCTTTATACAAGAAAAAGGTTTATAAGTCAAAACACAAAGATACTGTTTTTCCTATTTACCTGTGTTACCAGGGTTCTTTTTTATTTATGTATGGCTTTGAGTTACTGCCCAATGTTCTTTCTTTTCTGTTTCAAGAATTTTCCTTTAGCATTTTTTCTAAAAGTAAGAGACTTTATCAGCTTTCCTTAATCATGGAATGTTTAAAATTCTCCCTCATTCTTGATAGATTTGTTGGATATAGAATTCTTGATTGAAAGCCTTTTTCTTCTGACTCTAATTGTCACTGCATTGCTCCTGGTAATTAATCTTACTGATGATTCCTTGTGGGACAAGTCACTTCTCTCGTGACACTCTTAGGATACACTTTTTCTTTGACATTTAACAGATTGAGTATCATGGTGTGGATCTCTTGAGTTTTTCCTCTTTCTGTTTATGAGCTTCCTGGATGTGCATCTTAACTTTTTCAATTTGGAAGTATTTGACTACTGTTTCTTCAGATTGCTTTCAGCCCCTTTGTTTTTCAGCTCACCTTGTATGAGCTCCATTGCATATATGTTTATATTCCTCTATTCATTGTGCTAAATCTCTTATGCCTGTGCAAATCTGCTATTGAAGCCCTTTGGTGAATTTTTCATTTTTGCTTTTGTACATTTCAGGTCTAAAATTTCTATGTCTTATTATTTCTCTCTATATATTGTTATTCCCTATTTATTGAACACATCATTCTCTTGTTTCTGTGACTTCTTTCAGTTGAAATGAAGTGCCTATGTAATCTGTGCCTAGTAATTTTGCCTTGTGTTTCTTCAACAGAAGGTTCTGTAAATTTCTTTTTTCCTTTGAATGATTTGTACTTTCTTGATTCTTTGCATATTTAGTTTTTCTTCTAGTTGCGTACTGGGCATTTTGGATATTATAATGTGTAAAAAGAATATGTGTGTTAAAAAAAAAAATATATATATATATAGGGCCAGGGATTTAGCTCAGTGGTTCCACCGCCTGCCTCTAAAGGGCAAGGACCCAAGTTCCATCCCTGGTACCAAAAAAACCCCCCCAAAAACCAAGGTAGTAGTACCTTGGTTCATGAATTTAATTTGTTCTATGATTTTGGAAAAGATGGCCACATTTGTTTCTATGGGAAAGATGGCCACAATTGTGTTTGTCACCCAATGCAGTTTGCAAACGAAAATTTTGCCAAATGCTTCTGTTTATGAACCAAATTGTTTGCAAACAAAAGCATTCACGAACAGGTACCACTGTGTGATACACACAAACACACACGCGTATGTGTATATGTATAATGTATGTATGTGTATATGTATGCATTTGGCTCTGCACTGGAATACTGCTTTGTTGTTTAGCCACATCCCTCACAAATCTACCTTAGTCTGTCTTCACCTAAAGATCTACCAGAAGTAAAAGCTTATGGTCTGTTCTGATCATGCATTCTCACCTAGAGGGTAGTCCTCCTTCCTCAAAGATGCTCACCTCCCACTCTTTCATCCCTTGGCTTTCAGCATGTTTGTTGTGTTCACTGATACTTTGTCCTGACAATAAGGTTCTGTTCTACAGCAACTCCCTTTCTCTTCTTGCTTGACCTCTGATGGCTGAAGGGAGCAGTCATCCCCTGACCGTTTTTGTTTGTTTGGTTTGGTCTACATATTGTGATAATCTTGGCTTGTCAATTGCTTTGGCATCCTGACTATGATATACTGGAGACAATAATAAACTCCAAGGAATTCATTGCCAAGTCTTCCCTTGCTTCCTGTGGACTACTTCTTCTGTTTTCTTCTCTCAGCATTTCAGATTTTCAGATTTATGTGCTTTTGACTTTGTGTGTTATTCCAGTGCTTTAAATTGTAATTAATGGGAGCATTTGGGTTGAATGTATTTACTTTATAGTGGCTAGAACAGGGACTGAACCCCTACAACCATGAGTGAATGACTAGATGAATTCATGGAACTTGACCTCAAGTTGCTCATAGCTTATGTGGCTGACAGTGTTACAATAAGTATAATATTAAGAGAATTAAGATAAATTGATCTATGAGAACTCAGGCAAGGGAATGAAGTTATTTATAGCTATTGGGGACATGGGATATGTGGTGTGGTGGTAAGGTCATTGTTCTGAGACTAATCAAGTGTCCTTCAGAGTCCTCTGACTCTAACAAACCCTGTAGGTTATAGATACTACCAACACCACCAACCACCCTGCCTCCCTTCAGACCCTGGCTGGAAGTCAGTGCTCATCTTCACCTATAACCTGTAAGCTATAAAGAGTTGCTGTAAGCCTTTCGAGTTCAGCAGTTGCTGGAACCACTTAGAGAACTTACTCAAGGCATTATACTTAACAATTGCCATTTTATTATAAAGGATAAAATCTAGAAACAGTCAGATGGAAGCAACACATAGACTAAGGCCTAGGGACTTTGGCAGGGGGGCTTATATAGCTTTCTTGTGAAATCTAACACATTACTCTCCAAATAGATCGATGTGCTCACCAACCAGGAAACTCCACTGATCACCTGTGCCCAGAGTTTTTAGTGACCATGGGCAAGGTTGATTAAATCACTGGCTGTGTATTTGAACTCAGTCTCCAGCATGCTCTCCATCTGGACGTCTACTAGGTCAAAGTTCCAATTGCCTGCTGATGTCATTGGCTTTTCTAGTAAGCAGCCCACAGCCTGCTGCTATCTAAGGTCCACTTGAGTCACTTTATTAGCATAACAGAGATTGTTCTATCACTGGAGAACTTTCACAGAATTGAAGTTCTATGCCAGGAAGTGACACATATACGTTCATTGTTTTTTGTTTTGTTTTATTTTTGGTACCGGGGATCGAACTCGGGTCCTTGGGCTTTCAGGGCAGCTGATGGAACTACCGAGCTAAATCCCCGGCCCACATGTATATTCATTGTAAAACTGCACTTGTCAAATAAGATTTTATGGAGAATGTGGCATTGGAGTGATTTGAAAGTAGACAGGTTTAAACATTTGAAAAGGGCATTTCAGCCTAACAGCATTAGCAGTGAGCATTAGCTTTTACACAGGAGGAACATATTCAGAAATGTAAGATTCAGTACAGAGAAGTATATTAAGTACTTTCTAAATGTTAGTGTAGGACATATGAAAAGAATAAATTTTGAAAAGCCAGAGTTGGTCTGTTGTTTAATGATATTTATTAATCATAGACTCTTATTCCTACAGAGCAGAAGAAAGAAGAGATTTATTCATGTTTTTCCGAGGCCTACATTTTTTTGTGGAATGGTGTGAATATCGTAAGCGTACATTTAAATATTTCAAGGTAAAGTCTAAAATCTTTGAATTTAAATATATGTAGAATATGAAGCTGGTGTTATTTGGTGATTCAGCCATAGTGTACTTTCCTTAAAGTTTTCAGAGAATGGAAAGTATTTTCATTGGCTTCAGGATTTGTTAATTATTTGTAATAAATGGAGAAGAAGCTTCTGTATAAATCAGTATTTTATATTATAGAATATTTTGAATGAAGTGTAGTTGTTTCTAATTTATTTTAAAAACTACATTTTAAAAATAAGTCTTGCAAGGATACTTGACCTAAAACAATAAATGCTAATAAAATATAATCACAACAGGCTTGTTACGAAGCAGTATATGTTTAACTTCCTGAGGCAAAGTATATATTTTGATTTTTGCATATTTTGAGTTTAAATACTGAAGCCTGATTGTTTCTTAAGTCTTCTAGAGATGCTTCAGAGCACTTATTTTTATTTGTTTTGGGAGCATAACCAGAATTATCTTTGATTGTGTTGTAATCTCCAGTCTTACAGAGTGGGATAACATTAAATTATTGACAGTTGTGAGCCACACAAAAAAGAATTAACAAATAATATTTCAAGGTTCAGATTCCCTCAAAAGCCTAACCAGTTCATGACTCTTGTTTTTAGGGCTGGTTTGTAACTTTTCTTTATTTTGGGTTGTATTCTTTTTTATTATTAGTTTTATCCTATTGGACTGAGCTAATAAAATGTGTGAAGCATGAGATTTTCTCCAGAATGAAACATGGGCAGTTCCCGTACTTCAGTCCCTTGAAGAGCTCTCATGATTTTGGTATACTTTCTTGCATGTAGTCTTATGCCAGGACAATTAGGTATCTTTGCCTCACAATTGATAAAATACAATGATTGGTGAATGTGCTGGCAGTTACTGTGCTGGCAGTTACAGTAATGAATGAATCGCCTATTACTTGACTTTCTACCCAGTAGAATGTTTCCTTATGCATTTGAGTATGTAGTAGTTTTTGTGACCTCTGGTTCTGTTATGGTTTGACTCTAGTTGTCTCCCTAAAGCGTCACGTGGTCACAGGTGGCTTTTTCAGAGGTGACTGAATCTAGAGTGTATAATGTTGGGATTAAGGGCATGTGATTACTAAACCTGTACACTGATTGGTTTGCCACTGTCCTAATCCTGGTAGTCTGGATAAGATAAAAGGGGCAGGAAGACACTGTTAAAGTTCCCTTGTTGCTTTTGCTACTGTGTAGGTACCATGAACTGTTTCTTTTCTGTGAAGCACTTTGCCATGTGCCACTCTGCCTTAGAGCCAGCCAATTATGGACTGAAAAAAATTCTACAGACTGTGAGCTAAATAAACCCTTTCGCTTTTAACTTTGGGTGTTGAGTATTTTGACTCAGCAGCGAGGAAAAAGTAACTAACACAGTTCCCCATTTGCAAAGCTGAGTCAGTCATGGGGAACCTACAATTTGTATGCCACAGTGGGCCATTTATCATTGAAATCTCTAAAAGGTTCACTATCGCTGCTCTAGGTGCTCTCACTGCTCTAGGTGCTCTCCATGCAGGTCGAGAAGTATAATTGGTGTATTTTTCAGAGGAAATAGAGCATTCTATGAGCTGGTCTTTGCTGGTGACATTTCTAGGATAGAAAAATACAGTCATTTTTCTGAAACCATTTTCCATATCTTTTTCATCACCCCAAATTAAACTCTGTATCCATTTCCTCCTTGCCCCAGTCCCTGGTAAACACTGCTTGATGTTCTGTTTCTACGAATTTGACTATTTAAGGTACCTCGTATTGTTGCAGAATTCCAAGAGACAGGAGAGACCAATGCGATTTAGGAGGATTTATTTTAGGTTTAAAGTGTTCACCGGCTCAACTGACTCCTGTCCAGAGGAAGAACGCTGAACAAAGAGAAGTTCCAGCTTTTATACATTTGGTCAAAGGGGAGTGGTCTTTCTAATGACGTGAAACTAAGGGAGTGGGCTAGTGAGGTTGCAGAAGCAAACAAAAAGCAAGTTAGTCACCTCTCAAAAATGACAGTTTTGTTCCCTGTGAATCTTGTGAGAACAAGGCATCATGAACTTTGTTTACAGGACTTATTTGCCAATCTTATCTGTATCTTTTGAGGGTATACAGTTCCTTAAAGGTTGCAAAGACTTCATTGACAGGAATGTAACTGTCTGCCCTATTAGTACCAGGGGGGAGACAAATTCCTGAGAAGTCAGGTCTTCACTGGACTCTTGTTATCAAGAATCTTGTTTGTTTGTTTGTTTTGGTACTGGGGATCCAACTCAGGACCTTATGCTTGGGAAGAAGCAGGCAGTGGAATCACTGATCTAAATCCCCAGCCCAGCAAGAATCTTATTGTTTATCTTATCTGTAGCCCAACAAGGAGTTGGGGGGAGGTGTGACTCAAGGTGAGGAGGGAACTGCCCAAGGCTTGTTTTTCTTTAAGTCCTGCTTCAATGTAAGTGGAATGTCCTTTTTGTCTGTATTATTTCTTTGAGGATATCATTGTCAAGGTTTATCCATCTTGTAACATGTGTCAGATTTCCTTTTCAAGGCTAAATAATACTTGTACCATGTTTTGCTTATCCATTCATCTACGGAGAGACACTTGGATTTCCACGTTTTCACTGTGAATAACACTGCTGTGACCAAAAGTGTACCAATATAGCATCATGTCCTTGCTTTTACTCTTCTAAGTATATGCTGGGAAGTGGGTTTGTTGGATCAAGGGGGTAGTTCTAAGTTTAATTTTTAGCTGTGTTTCAAAGCAGCTGCACCATTTTACTTTCCTACCAGTAAAGCCAAGAGGTCCAGTTGGTCCATAAGCCCTCCAACACATGATATTTTGTTGTTGTTTTGTAAAAATTAGTCCTGTAAATAGAAAGTGATACCTCACTGTGGTTTGGTTTGGATCTTCCTGGTAGACTAGCAGTGCTGAGCATCCTTCCATGTGCTTATTGGCCACTAGCATCTCTGTGGTGAATGTTTGTTGGGAGTCTTATACCCGTGTTTCAATTTATATTGCTTTTTCTTGTTGAATTGTAAGAGCTCTTTATACATTGTAGATATTAACTTCTTATCAAATATATGATTTGCAAATACTTTCTCTGGATTATTTCATTCTCTCGATAGTGTCTTTTAATACACAAAATTTTGATAAAATTCTTTTTGTTTTTTTTGTTGTCTGTGTTTTTGGTGTCTGATCCAAGAAATTATTACCAAATTCATTCTCAAAAAAGAATTTTCTCATTTAGTGCTTAAGGCCAGGTTTTTATTGTTTTTGTTGTTTTGTTTTGTGGTACTGGGGATTGAATCCAAGTCCTTGGCACTGAGTTGTATCCCTTCTCCTTTTTTATTTTGAGATAGGGTCTCACTAAATTGCCCATTCTCAGCTTGAACTTGTACTCTTCCTGCCTCAACCTCCCAGGGTGATAGGATTACAGGCCTGTACCGAAGCATTTAGCCAAAGTTAGGTATCTGCTCCATTTTGAATTAATTTTTGTATGTGGTATAGAGTAAAGCTCCAACATCATTTGTTATGGTTTGTCTCTAGATGTCCCCCACAAAGCCTCATGCAGTCATAGATGGGGCTTTTTGGAAGTGGCTGGATCTGGAGTGTGTGATGCTGGGATCAAGTGTGTGTCATTACTAATTAATCTACTGATTGGTTTGGCCTAGTTCTGGGCAGGATCAAGGGTGTCCTGTGGGTAGACTGGATAAAACATAAGGAATAGAAAGGTCACAGGTTGCTTGTTGCTTGTCACTTGTTGCTTATTGTTGCTGCTGCTTGTCTTCTGCTCTGCAATGCCCCTCTGCCATTGCCACCCTGCCTTGGAGCCAGCTGGTTACGGACTGAAACCTCTACAAACTGTGAGCTGAAATAAACCTTTCCTCCTTCAACTTTGAGTGTCAAGTATTCTGTCTCAGCAGTGAGAAAAGTAACTAAGACATCATTCTTTTGTGCACATATGTCTTGTGTTTCCAGCAGTATTTGTTGAGGAGACTGTCCTTTCCCCGTTGCATACACTCAGTACTTGTGTTGAAAATCATTTGACCACACAGTGCATCAAGGATTTATTTCTAGCTTCTCTAGTCTATTACATTGGTTATATGTCTGCATTTATGGCAGTACCACACTGTCTTGATTACTGTAGCTTTTTAGTAAGTTTTAAAATTGGGATTTGTGTCTTCTCTCTTTCTTATTTTCATGATTCTTCCATTTATTTGGGGTCAGTTGAGACTGCATGTGAATTTTTTTTTTTTTTTTTGATACTGGGGATTGAACTCGGGTTCTTGTGATTGCAAGGCAGGCCACAGAGCCACTGAGCTAAATCTCCTGCCCTCCATGTGAATTTTAAAGTGGATTTTTCTATTTCTGCAAAAAAACATCTCTGGGACCTTCGTAGAGATTGGAGTGAATCTGTAGATTGTTTTGTCATCTTACTAGTAAATTTTGCAATCCATGAACACAGGATATTTCTCCATTTATATGTGCCTTCAGTTTCTTTTAACAGTGTTTGTAAGGAGTAATAGTTTTATTAATTTTAATTTTAAGCCTGTATTTCTTAATTATTGTCAAGAATAAAACATCAAGGGCCAGGGATTTAGCTCAGTGGCACTGCTCCTGGCTCGCAAGTGCAAGGTCCTAAGTTCGATCCTCAGTACCAAAAAAAACAAAGAGAATAAAATATCTATATACTATAAGCAAGTCAGTATTTTTACTTTTTTGCATTAATTTTTCTGTTACCTTCTGGATCTGGGTGGTATAATTTGTATTGCTTATTTTATTTCCAATTTAAGAGTATGTAGATGAAGATGTATGGTACCTATATTCATGTCTGTTTTTTTTTAAATTTGAGAGTTATTTTATGTTGCTCTTCTCAGTAAGTTTTGTTATTAAAACAATATAGGGGATTGGAGATTTAGCTCAGTGGTTCCACTGCCTGCTTTGCAAGCGCAAGGTCCCAAGTTTGATCCCTGGTACCAAAAAAAAAAAGGAATATAGGAATATATTTTTGTTCTGAAAACTAGAAACTTAACAGATATATCTAACCACTTTCTGTAGTCTCAATCTTATCATGGAGTCCTCCTTTATCAGGTATATATTTCCAGATAGAGTTAATTCATTTCCATTGGTTTATTCAAGCTTATGCTAGTTTAAAGATTCTAATTTTTTCAAAATAAAACAGAACCCTTCTATTTGGATAAGTTTTACAATATTTACTGTGTATTCACATGTGCTCACTCTTGTGCTAGGCATCATAAAAGTATAAAGACAAGGCTATGTTCAGTGCTCTCAACTTTCAGTCACAAAGAAATGAGACACACAAAATATGAAAGCAGCATAATAGTTATGATCATTAATTACCAAAATAAATGAGCAAGTTAGTATGCAATATTAGAATAATAATTGTAGCCTTAAGAGGTCACAGATGCTTAAATGGAAAAGTTTCATCTTGGGGTCAACCTTGACAAATAGGGGGATTCATTTTAGATAAGGTAAAAAACAAGGAAATGCTTAAAAGTAGGATTGAATATATATATATATATGTGTGTATATATATATATGAGATCAACTTGATTCCCATGTATAATTTATAATGGAAATGGCATACTTTGATGCACACATGTCATGATCATGTTTCTAAAGCTGATAATTTTGAGTTTAACTCCAAAGCAATGTGTAGACTAAGACACTTTAGTGGGATATGGGCAAGAAGTTTAGTTTAAGAACTTTTAATTTGGTAGCATTGTGTTGTCGTAAGTTGTCAGTATTAGATTGAAGATTAGATTCTCAGCATTCAGTGTATCTGCTCATCATGGATGTTGAGAAATGTCACTCAGAGCTTCGTTGTGAATATCCATTTTGTTTGGGTGAACATGTGTGTGCATGGGCAGCCGGGAAGGTGCTGTGCAGTAACACCATGGAAGACACTTTGTTTTCATTTCTTATGTTTGCACAAATTCATTGATGAGATGCTTATTCCTGTCATGTAAAAAGAAAATATTTTGCAGTTATTTCATATTTAAAAATCTTTACATTGGAGGAGCCTTATTACTGTCCTCTGAGAAATAGGCTAGACTTCTAGAGTTTTGTTGTTATTGTTGTTTTGTTTTCTTATAAGCTTACTGGTTTGGACCTACTTGCCCTTTTAAAATGTTTTATAATAGTCTTAGAATAATAACATCTAGATTAAAGAAAATTTTATTGTTTTATTAAAGACTAACTGTGTGACCACAAACTAGAAAATTGAACATTTTTATATAAGCAGAGAGTAAAATTCTATTTTATTTGAGAAATATTTTCTAGGTATGAGACTATACCCTATTTCTCAGGCTAAGTGAAAATACAGTAAAATAGCTGCCTTCACAGGAAGAAAACAAAGTTCTTACTTCATAGTGTATAATGATGAATCGTAATGGAAACATGGGAGATCACTGGAAATATTTAGCTTTTCAGAGTTTTTGGAATGGCTGCCTTAAATGCTTTTGAGATACAGTAAAGGCCAGAAAAGACAAACAACTGAAAGTTTCCTAGACTTCACTTACTTCATTAGTAATGAGAATAATGTGTCTCAGATGTTGTATTTATATTAAGACATGTCTTTTAAATGGTAGTCTAAACCACAAGGATTTTTGGTTTTTTTGTTTTTGTTTTTGGTACCAGGGATCGAACTCACCTTCTGCGAGGCAGGTGGCAGAACCACTGAGCTAAATCCCGGCCCGAACTACAAGGATTTTTAAAAATTGCTTTTTAAGTTTTTTCACATTACTTCATTTTTGCTTGTGTGTAAGATTTTTATGCATCTTTGCTTAAAATATAAAATTCCTTCTTAATGGGATATAAGAATAATATTAAACCAATACTGATGTTCCTTGACACATTGTTGGGACAGATTATAAGTATGTGTACTTTTGCTTATATACTGTATTGATAGTGGTTAAAAGTATGACCCTATCGGTAATCTTTTTAAGCAAATGAAACTGTTTGGATGCTTTCCCAGGATGATTGGATTGCCCTCCAGACGAATCTCTTCAATACGGTCCCGAATATAACGGGTGTCATTAGACTTGCAGAATGTATCATCTGTAACTGAAGTTATGTTGTTAAACTGAAAAATAAAAGGAAAAATATTGTTCAAAAGTCTGAAATCAATCTGTTGCATGCTGTATAATGGGATTTCACAGAATATCTTAAAAGTACTTTAATTGTACACAAAAATTTTTACACTCTGTATGTCCTCATAATAATCTTCTCTGTGCAATCTAATCACTCTTTTTACGTATGTAGTGTCATTTTGGAAAAGCAGACTGCTTGCTATTATTTGGAGTAATATCCATGTTTAGCATGAAATTCTGAATATAAATAAGATTATACTACCTGAAGAAAGTATTCTGTCCTAGAGTGTCAACTCAAAATGGGTACTATTTCCTTGAATATTGTCTAAAGAAGTAAGAAGAAGCCAGAATTAGTGGCTTATGCCTGTAATCATGGCACTCTGCAGGTCTGAGATAGGAGGATTGCGAGTTCAACCCCAGCTTGGGCAAGAGACCCTGCCTCAAATTAAAAAAAAAGAGCTGGAGATGTAGCACAATACAAAAGCCATGGGTTTAATGCATCACCACAAAAGAGAAGAGACAAGAAGAGGGAATTCTTATGATGTTAAGAGATCAATTTTAGGGGTTTTTTTTTGGTACCAGGAATCGAACTCAGGACCTTGCACTTGCCAGGCAAGCTCTGTGCCACTGAGCTACATCTCTGGCCCAATTTTAGTTCTATTTTCATTCCTTCTTCATTTTTGCATTTCCAAATTGATGTACTGTAAAACCAGCTGGAAAGTTTCTAAAAGCAGATGTTCACCACTATGTAGTGAAAAAGACATAAATCAGAGGCCCGAGTGCTTCCTCACTTCCAATCCATGTATTAAGACTCATTAGGAGATGCCATGTACACATCTAGAGCTGAATCCTGCTCAAGGGCAAACTTTATACCTCTGAGGCTGGTTCATTTAGAATGCTCTGGAAACGGGGTTCATATGTCTACTCTTGTTTTTTTTTTTTTTTAATTCTGAGGATTAAATCCAGGATCTCTGAGGTATATCTTCAACTATTATATTTGTTTGTTTATTTTGAGACAAGGTCTTGCTAAGTTGTCTAGGACTTGAAATTGCAATCCTCTTGCCTCAGCCTCCTGAGGATTATAGGCATGTACCACCAGTGACTGACTAGATATTAATACTTTTGGTAGGCATTGTCACACTATAATGATCTAACCATGCTTTAAATGTGAAAGAATGAGTTTCCCAGCAATTCATGATAATGATCTGTAGGTAATTAAAGCCACACATTGTTGAAGGAGCAGTCATACCTGAAGATGAATAATACGAAGACTTTCTGGTAAATTAGGAGGCACAGATTCCAGGGCATTGTGGTCCAAGTAGAGGAAGGAAAGCTTATTCAGTTTCTGCAAAGAAAATTTGGTTTGCTTGTTACTGAAGTGTGTGCATTGCTTCACAGGATTCAAGCAATATATAAATGAAAAAGGATATTGATATAAACACATACCAGTAGTATCATGTGTTGGTATGGTAGTTTCTTGTTTTGGCTGCTGGTCTTGGCTTCACAAATAGTCTGTTTTGGTCCTTACTGACTCTGCTGCACCCTCTACATTTCTGTACATCTCATCTCTGAATATCCAACCTTGATGCCATCTTCGAGGCCCTTTGAATTTGTCTAGGGAGCAGCTAATGAGGCCACTGTCTGTGTGGGGTTAATTTTTGTTTTGTTTTGTTTTTTGGTTCCAGGGATCGAACTGGGGACCTTGCGCTTGTGAGGCAGGCCCCGGAACCACTGAGCTAAATCCCCAGCCCCTGGAGTTAATTTTTGGATCCTGATGGTGCCCTAACCTCTCCTGAGGCTCTGGAACGTCCCATCTCAGCTCTGCTACTCCTAACTAGGAGATGTGTGCTTAGCAAGAGGTTTCTTGAAGCAGTTTATTAAACCACTTAACTTGATGTGGCTTTTCCCATAAGTTAGGCTTTATGTTGGATTATTCTTCAGATCAACCCATTATCACGTATAATTTTATACCATGGTTTCAGAGTGTAGTTTGAGCTGGCATTTCTCTTTTACCTTAACTTTGACATGCAAATGAGGTGCTAGATTTTGCTAATTCTTTTCTGTGCTGTTATTTTAAACCTTTCTTAAGTATCCTACTTTTCCACCACATGGACATTAAGCACCTATCCTCCCAGTAGGTCTCATTTACATGAGTTATAGTAATCTGATTTTACCATTGGCTTTTGCAGCCCTAGGGCGGTAAGCAAAACTAAAATATAGTCAAGTTTATCATTTTGATGACAACTTATCACAAATGCATGTTTAAAATCCAAAATATTTAAACTATTTGTTTGAGACAGAGTCTTAGTATCTTACCAAGCTTGACCTTGAACTCCTAGAGTGATCTTCCTGTCTTAGTTTCTTTAGTAGCTGGGACTGCAGTGAAGTGCCACAGTCCTGGGCTCTAAACATTCTTTTTATGAAATGCTGATCAGCTTATAGGTCTTTAATCTGACAGTAGTTCAAAGGTTGACCTACTTAATTCATATCTGCATATTATAAGGGTTTTTTTTTTTTTTTTTCAAAGAAGTGAATCTAGGGCCCGGGATTTAGCTCAGTGGTTCCGCCACCTGCCTCACAAGCGCAAGGCTGTGAGTTCGAGCGCCGGTACCAAAAAAAAAAGAAGTGAATCTTCCCTTAAAAGGTCCCTAAGTGCCCCTTAACTTCTGAGTCTTATAAAAAATATCAGAGGAATTCTGAAATAACTCTAAAAATGTCCCTTAAAATTGAAAAAGGATACTTTATTAATTAAAAAATGAAATATTTTTTTCATTTTCTAACAGACTTGTAAATGTGGACAGATTATACATTTATGTGATTTTTGTAAGCTTTGTGATAATGAATATTTGATAATTTTAGGTCTTTTTATTAGGAGCTATCTTTAATAATTAGAAACTATGCTGTCTGAATTAGGCTGTTGCTAACAGTGGCTTTGATCATCCCATGCTTTTATCTAGGGTACCTACCAGGACTGGACCGATTGTATCACAGCTGTGGAAAACCAGGGTTGAGGTGATTGTTTGGCTTCTACCTAAAGCAAAGTAGATCATCTTCCCCTTTTCCTACAAAATATTTTCTTAAATTACTAAATTAAGAAATGTTTGCAAGTCTTACTACATGGAGAATTTTATGTTAGGTGCCATCATAGAATTCAAAGGAAAGTCTTTATCTATGAAATGTTATAGTCTAGTATTTTTACATATTAAAAGTCAAATTCAGGGCCAGGGATTTAGCTTAGTCATTCCTCTGCCTGCCTGGCAAGCACAAGGTCCTGAGTTCAATCCCCGGTACCAAAAAAAAGAGTCAAATTCAGCTGACGATTTAGCTCAGTGGTGCAGCACCTGTCTGGCAAGTGCAAGGTCCTGAGTTTGATTCCTGATACTGGGGGGAAAAAGTTAAATTCAGTGTTTACTTTTTTTTTTGTACCATAGATCGAACTCAGGACCTTGCACTTGCCAGGCAGGCAAGCAGAACCACTGAGCTAAATCCTCAGCCTTCAGTGTTTACTTTTGAAACTTTATTTTTCTGGCATTTATAAATTGTTAATGTTGTAAGGGAAAAGAAACATAGCCAAGGTTCTAGTTTGAGGTTTTTTGTTTTTGAGACAGTGTTTCATTATGTAGTTCAGGTTGGCCTTGAACTTACTATGTAACCCAGGCTGTCCTTGAACTTGAAGTCCTCCGGAGTGCTGGGATTATAGGTGTACACCATCACACCCAGCCCAGTATGAGTTTTTATAGACTGTAAGCGCCATGAGGGTCCTACCAGCTCTGTCTAAATATTTACTGTATGAATCGTGAACAAATGAGATAATATATAGTCTCGTGAAACAAAATAAAGATAATGGATTGTACGTGAAGTGCAGGCATAAGGTAGGCTGAATGAGCCTAACAGTATGGCTGTTTATTATGTAAGCAAGGGCTTTATTTATTACATCAAAATAGCTTTAAAATGTAATCAAAATAAAAGCTGGGTGATACGCTGCATACCTGTAGTCCCAGCTGCTCAGGAGACTGAGGCAGGAGGATTACTTAAACTCAGGAGATAGAGGCCAGCCTGAACAACATAATGAGACTGTCTCAAAAGACAAAACAAAACATAACGTAATGAAAACACGGTACTAGGCCAAAGTTTCTCTTTCTTTTAGCATACCTGATTCATACTATATTCAGTCATACTATAATATACTTACTTTAAATGCATTAGCTTTGATTCCTCTACTCTTGATTTTGTTGTGTTTTGCATTAAGTAGAATGAGCTTTGAAGGAAGAACTGGAAGTCTCAGTAGTTGATTTTCAGCAAGTGAAAGTTCTTCTAACAGAGAAAGTTTTGAAAAAGTACCATCTTCTATATCTTCTATCAAATTTCCAGTAAAATCAAGTCTTCTTAAGTTAGCTTGAGGGGGGTAATACACAAAAAAGTATGTAGGTAGGAGGTAAAAAGAATTAAGATGTGTCATGTACATGTACCAGCTACCCACAAAGAAGGTAATCATGTATGAAAACATGTACTAATAAAAATAATAATTTTTTTTGAAGTATGAGGGTAGAATCACATTGTGCAGACTGAACAAAAAGCATTTGTTTAATAGATCACTCACACAGCTTTTATCTTTAGTGCCTAGTATAGTGTCTGCAGTCAGCACCTCAGCAATGTTTGCTGTTGTTTGGGTACTAGAGACTGATCACAGGGGCTCTCATACACTAGGCAAACACTCTATACTGCGCTACATCCCCAGGCCCATCAGTGTAAATTTGTTAGACACTAAGCATGTCTGTGTGCCTAACAGTGATGTCTTTTCTAACTAAAGTCTTAGTTCTCAAGTTTGGAAGGTAGCTTAACATTACTGGTCTTTCCATCCTTCTCTGAATTCCTCAGGATACACAGGTAGTTTGAAAGAAATTCTTATTACAGATCATAGGAAGTAAGCATTATATTAGATTGAATGGAATCATGTAATTAATATTTTCTGCTACAATAGCAAAGACAAAATTGTGCCCTGATTTGTTAAGGTGATACTGCCTGAGAGATTGAAAATTTTAGTGTGTGTATGTGTGTGTGTATTGCTTTTGTTTGGGATGGTTGTACAATTGCTTCTCATTCACAGTAATCATTTTCTATAGAGTTGCTGCAATTAGTGCGCACTCAGCTGTTGGTTCCGGGAGAATTGCAGGATTAGGTTTCTGTGAGCCTCTAGTCAACCAGTTAATAAAACCTTGGTTTTTCATTGTAGTTATGTTTTTGTTTAAAAAACAACTTATTTTGCATACATTGGTTAGTCGTTAACATTGTTTTATGACTTATGCCTGAATGGAGCTTGTCTAACACATCACAGATTTTCCTGCACTTAAAAACACTAGATAAAACTTTAACACTAGTGCTATGTTCAACAGTAAAACACTCAACAAAAAAAGCCCCCCAAAAATATAGTACTAAATACTCTCAACTTGGCACTAATTTACAATATGAGAGCTGAAACTAAAAGAGAGTGTTATCTTATTTAACCTCAGCTGAAAGTGTACATTTGGAGTAACTAAAAATGTTCGTCATTCTCTGTGTGTCTGGTAATGATCACAAAAGTGCTGCATGTATTGATTTTGGGGTTACAAACAGATTTTAGCAAGTAGGTGAATTTGAAAATCTAGGTTCCACAAATAATGAGTATCAACTGTACAGTTGGGTGTTATTAAAGACGTTATGAATCCAGTTGTAGTTAACCTCAGAAATGTGCAGTGAGGTTAGTGTGCCTTTCTTTTTTTTTTTTGGTACGGGGGATCAAACTTGGGACCTTGCACTTGCAAGGCAGATGGCAGAACCACTGAGCTAAATCCCTGGCCCTAGTGTGCCTTTCTTGGTGTGATTTCTTCAGAATATGTGACAACCTAGGAATCTAGAAAGCTGACAATAAATTAGTAATCTGGGTCTGGGCCTTTTTACTGCAGAAATAGGGAGTACTGTTGTGCTGATGGTAATACCCTACTTGGGTTAAGATTCAATAGGAAACCAGATTATTACTGACCGGGAAAGGATTGAAATACCACTCTTCTCAACACCATTTCTGTATTAGAATCATCCAAGGCGTTTAGTTGGTTTTAATGATGATGCCTAGGCCTAACCCCTTAATTAGAACTCCTGGGGAATACAATCTGGTATCAGTATTTTAAAAGTATTTCCTCAGATATTTTAGATATATAGCCAGTTTAAGAGCTGCAAGTTAAAGACAAGCAGTTACTATGCTTTTATAATGAAGGTTAAAACATAAAATTGTGTGGTTTAAGAAGCACACTTGTTATACTGGTGCTGCTTACTATCAAGGGCATAGTAGATCTTGAAGTATTGTGCTTGAGAAGATCCAGTTGTCTTTACTTTAAATGGACTGTCGCATAGATACCAAAGTCACCACTAAAGAAAAATGTCAAGGAAAGTCTAGAGATTTACCCACAAAGCAGTGGATTTTTGTGAAGTGTATAGACACCTAAATACTCCAACAGTGATGCCCTAGGGGTATATAGGTTGGAAGTGTGTAGGAAATTGTGATTATATATATCTTATTTAAACTTACGCATGTCTGCAAAATCCTTGGCAGTCAGCTTTTTAATTTTGTTGAATCGTGCATAAAGATAGGCTGATTCCTTTGGCAAGGGTGGTACAGCATCAATATCAACTTCTTCACAGTATACAGAGCCACTTAAACACACACACAGTAAGCACGTGGGCATTTCTAAATTGGGAAACAATCATAAAAGTTTAAATAATGGTTTGAAAATTTTGGGCCTATAATGGTAAAATTATTGCTATCATGAATGGTACTGCTAATTTGAAAAGATATGTTACATAAATCATAGGTGATAGCAGTAAAAAGATGGTCATGGTATCCAGTGACCTACATTGTGCTTGATAACTGCTCAGAATTTTATTTTCAAGTCTGTAATCCACACTTTTTTTTTTTTTCTTTTTTGGTACCAAGGATCGAACTCGGGTCCTTATGCTTGCGCAGTAGGCCACGAAACCACTGAGCTAAACCCCCGGCCGTCCACACTCTTTATTCTCTGATTTAGCAGTGCTTAATTGACTTGACACTTAATATTTCCTCATTTGAATGCCAAAAAAATTCATAAAGCAGGAGTTAAGGAAACACAAGTTTGATTTATCAAGTTTGCTGTATCAGATGCATATTTCAGATTAGTGACACTAGATAATAAATTTAGAATCCCATAGTTAAATGAGCAAAACATTAACTTGAAAATTAAAATCACCACAGTCATTATTGGGATCCCAAGTTCAGATCTCTCTTAGGGTAACTTGACTTGAAGTGCTGTAACACCCAGCATTTATTAGTCACACCTCTTTCCTTTATTCAGGAGCAGTTCAATAGTCATTGGGTTTTGTTACTTATTGCTTTTTTGAGAAGTACAGGGCTTTCCCCCTTTCCTCTTGCCATCGATTTTGCCTTCTTTCTATTTTGCCAGGATTAGCATGGAAATGATACTACATTTTCAGTGGCTTGTATCAGGAGACATGTGATTTTTATTTGTCCCATTCCTGATAATATCTTTGGTCACTTGGTTCAAGGGGTATCTGTCTTCTTTCTTGTTCTATAAAGTTACTATTTTTCACCTTACTAAAGTTACTATTTTTCACATTAAATATCTTCTGGAAAAGTACTTTGAGACCAAAAAAAAGTCCAAATATGTCATCAGATGTTCATTTTTTGCATTCATTGATGAATCATTTATTCATAGTTGAATCATGTATCATTTGAATAGTTGCCAAAAATTGTATCATTCCTTCTGCACCTTGTAGTTGGCATTCTGCTGTGAGGTGAAACACTCCTTTATTTGTTTTTATATATCAATATGTACTTACATACTCTCCATCCCATGAGCGATAATCTGTTACTATTGTGATTATTTTAATAATTAGTTGGTAAAGAGTAGCCAGTGAGAGCCCTTTCAAGATTTTTTTCTGTCTGCCACAACTTTTTATTATTAACTGATACGCAGTAAATTGTATATATTTAATTTGTACAATTTAAAAGTTTTTCACATATGTATATATCCATGAAACGTTCACTACCGTTGATATAATTAATATATCCATCATCCTCCAAAATTTTCTTTTACCCCTTGGTAATTCCTTCTTACTTTTGTCCCTAATCAATCACTTACTGTATCTGCTCTCAGTCACTGTATGTTAGTTTGCAATTATAAGGATTTATGAGCTTCCCGCCACTCCCGGCCCAGAGGAAGGGGCTTCCGGGCCACCATCCCACCACTCTGGGCATAGAGGAAGGGCCTTTCAGGCCACCATCCAGGACGCCTTCCATCCTGCCACACCTGGCCCAGAGGAAGGGGCTTCTGCGCCACCTTCCCACCGCTCCAGGCATAGAGGAAGGGGCTTCCAGGCTGCCATCCTTCCCACCACTCCCTGCCCAGAGGAAGGGGCTTCTGGGCTGCTGTCCTTCCTGCTGCTCCCAGCCTAGAAGAAGGGGCTCCTGAGCCCATGTCCCACCACTCCAAGCTCAGAGGAGATGAGCCGTGCAGGCGACAACAGCACCCCCCACTCCCAGGTAGAAATGAGAAGACACATAAGCAAGTCTCAAAACCAGACTTCCAGATCACCTACGGCAACTCCAAAGAGAAGTGAGATGGAACACTGTGATACTTAACCACCTGGACTCCCTGAACTGGCAACAAAAGGGGATCTGGAAAAAATGAAATCAGAAATAATTTCTCAGATTGTGCTCCTAGTGCAAGACATGATTAATAAATCTAGAGAGGAGCTAAGGAACATGATAGAATCCCAACATAGGAAACAAATGGAATCCATAAAACAGATGCAAATAGATTTCCAGGAGATCAAAAACTCCATTGAAAGTCTACACAGCAGAATGAGCCAATGTGAGGATAGAATCTCAGATGTAGAAGATAAGATTGCA